TGGTTTTTATTCTTCCATTATTTTTTTCATTTTTGATAAGCTCCTCCTCAAGAAGTTCTTCATTGTTTCTTAGGCGTACGCAGGTTACATATGGGTTCCAACGAGCGCCGCTAAAAGTGCAGGGGCTTAAACTATTCGGAAATCAATAACTACGTTGCACAGAAAGGTCACAGACAAAAGAGCGAAAGATAAAACCGGCAGAGCACACAATTACCAAACGTTTTGACAACTTTATACACTCTGCGTACGACGCTGTTCATTGTGTTAGAAAAAAAACTTGCACACGCTTTGAACGTTTGCACTAGCGCGCTAGCGTCCGTTGTTCTGTGTGTGACTTTATTTGGACCGTTTGACGTACCATTCACAACCCAATTATGTAGTATTTACTCAGAAAGTGTCAGTTTTGAATGAACATTTCCTTTTTACGAGCTGTGCTTTCAATGTGCCCTAAATTGCGAACGCCATGATAATGAATATATAGCTTTGGATAAAATCTGACGTCTCTGCCAGTATTAAATATATACAAGGCCATGAGCATGTAATAAAGGCTCCTGTCTCCGCTATAAAGGACTATTTAAAACTGCTAAGCAGTAATGTTACTTAAAATGGAGATCTTCATCACTGTAATTATTTAGCTTAAACAAACATTTATTGTTTCTTCGTATTTGCCCTTGCTTTAGCCCATTGGGCAACATCTGGCAAATGTAAAACCATCAAGGCTGGAATTCCCAAAAACAGCTTCACACTGAACAACTAATCGTAAGAACATCAGTATACAGTTAATAGCGACCATGAGCATATCGTATCAATACATCAATACGTGGTATTTAACGTTCCATAACCACGACATGATAATGATGCACGCCGAAATGGAGTACTTCGAAAACCAGGACTACCGGTTGTTCTTCAAACTGCGCATATATCTAAGTGAACTGGTTCTAGAATTTAGCCTCCATCAATGCGCGACCATCACTCCTAGGATCAAACCTCGGAACTTCGGGATGACAGCCGAAAAATGTCTAACCACTGAACCATCGCGATGACTGTGACTCATCATTGGAGATAGTTGCAGCCATCGGCATGGAGCACTTACGGGAGAAGTGCTTGTTGAGTTGTGCACGAGCGCCTAGAGAGAAAACGCACGTGATCGTGAAAACGTGCGCTTATACTTCGTCCTTGTGCTATTCACGTGAGCAGCCTTCAGTATGCATTTCAATAAAGATGAGACGCGTTAAGCCAGATGTTGTGTCACCCTGGGAAGGAGGCAAGATCCCAGGGCTTGATTTCTGCATCACTGAGGATCCAGCTACGTTATTGCTTTCACATCCTTATGTACGTGAAAGCACACTTTCCTAAAATAACAACAGGGGACTCTGGCACTGCACTCAATCAGCAACCATGTAAATGGTGGATAATATACAGATTTACCTAGTCTTCGTACTCGTGGGACTACAACGATCATCACTTATTGCTACGTTGTGGTTTTGTTTCGAATGAAAAAAAAATGGACGATTGTAAACTTTGTGAGCCAATTTGAGACAGTGAGCCTAAAAATTTAAAGTAGTGAACTTGAACTGCTGAATATTTGCTGATTCTCGTTTCATGACAAAGCCACTTCAAGCCATGTGAAGCCAACCTGAGCTGAAAGTACGAAATTATACAGATTTGTGTACTGGTCATCTGTCCCATGCTCGCTGAAGCGCCGTGCGTTGCAGCTCCCGCAGACACTAGTGCCAGATTTTTTTCTAGTGTATTTATTAGAAACTTCATGGGGAAGAGCACACCATGACCATTTCACTACCCCGAAAAAGGTTACCTTTGCAGGTAGGACTAAACAAAATAACCTAAATGAAGATCAAGCACATCTTGAAATAAAAATAAAAAAGTTGAACAAACATTTTGGCTGAAGAATCTACAACACCTTCCAAAGGCACTGAAGTTTCAATTTCCGAAGCAAGATTCTAATATATTGTGTGGTGAAATGCACAGAGGTAACACGGCACTGCAGGTAGGTTGACACACTGAGGCAGAAGGTGACAGACCGTTGCGATAATGTTCTCTTGCGGAGGCAAACTCGGGCTGTAAAATTGTGTAGTGATAGCGTCAACTTAATTGAGAGTAATCGTGATAAAGCGTTCTGCAGAAATTTCTATTTAATTCACAGAAATATAGTCCTATAAGGGTTTGTAACACATTAACGCTCTCTTCATATTTTACAGCAGCCTTAAATATTTCCGGTTCGGGGATTCACGCATACCTTCACTCCTCATCTTTCTCTAATATACATACCTGTGTATGAGGAAGCAAGAGCGACGCTTTAGGACCGGCGCAAGCTCTTGCTATGCGTTGTTTTTATTTGTCTCATTACATGGCGCAGTACGACACCTGAGTCTGTGCTCGTTCATCTTCGGCCTTGTGAAGCCGCCAGTCTAAGAACGCCGCCTTTGCTTCCTATGGTATGAAAACCGCAAGCCTGCTGCTGCAAGAAGCACACTTTGGCCTGGACGGCGTCCAAACCTCATCGTCAACCGCTCACGTGCTGGCGCTGAGAGAACGATCGGGGAAGGTGTCTATTGTTTCAAACCAAGTCTCAACGTCCCGATACTGTGAACGCTATTTGGAGAAGGCGTCCAGGCAACCTCAGCGGCTCGACCTTCCTTCAGCGGTGCCGTGACACCACTTGTTGCCAAGACATCGCACAGGCTCCTCTCGTCTGGGAACACAATTAACGCTCCCTGTGGCATGGATACCGTGACCAGGACTCAGTCATCACATCAGCTTCCTACGAACGCCGCCCACACATCCTTGGCTATAAGTTCTGCTTCCATGAGTACCTGCAAAGCCACCACACTCTGCGCAGGTGCTGGCAATGCCTCTCCACGCGACTCACACGAGATCACCGTGGAGCTTCTGCGTGAGCTCTACCACTTTCCGTCGGTTCGCTGTGTATTCCAGCCAGCATCGTTACGACATCAGGCACCATCTGAAGTGCCGGTGTTCTGTGGCTTCGAGGAGGATACCGACGTGCGAATAAAGACCATAAATGCACTCGGCTTGTGCCATGCCTTGCTCGAAAATACAAACAATACAAAACGGCTGATAGCCATCGACGACGTGCTCGGCGCTGTTTAGGGATGGCACAAATGCGAAGATGTTGAGCAACGTTCTGCATGGTATGAAGCCGCTTGCGCATTGCTGTTTTTGTTCTGATTTGGTACGACACCTGCCCACTAAACAAAACACATACCGAAGATGGAGTTCAGGAGAACCACCTCGAGACTGCAACAGCAGAGGTCAGCTCATCGACCAGAAGCTTGGCAGCTATCCCTCAAGCGAACAGCGGAACTTACTAGGTTTCTTAACCATTCCAGAGGGAGACCTGCCCGCCGAGTTTTGGTGGATTGGTTGACGTTATGCAACCGAATTCTCGACAACAGATTGAGCACTGCCAAACGCAGTCGCTTCTAACGCTACAGGTCAGCGTCGTTGGCATTGGTGATATTACGGCTCTCGTGCAAACTGGAACTTCGTGCACAGCGCTGCATCGACGCTATGCCCCATTCAACCTCCAACCAGGTGGTTAGGCACCCTTCGTGTTCTCGGTGGCTGCGTGTTGGCCTGTGCTTCCAAAACGAAGCCGGGAGCAAGTTCCTGGCCGGCGTTTTCGTCATCGAAGACCTATCAGGTGATGTCATTCTAGGAGCTGATTACCTCCTCGTGGGTGAAGTTTGCCTCAGCGTAGATTCTGTCGGAGTTATCCTGAGCCCTTCATTCCCGGTATCACATCAGGCCAAAGGACCCAAGTAAACACACCACAAGCAGAAGTTCCGGCTAATATTAGAGCCCTTTTTGTGATCAGTCCGATGCACATCCACTGGCTTCACGCAGTCAGTGGCAAAAACGCCAGCACAGAGATCATCGGTGCACTTCGAACAGACGTAACTGGCATCGGCTATTCTGGAAGCCTTGAGCCCTTGGTCGATTGGGTGATCAACGGCAATTCCTGAAGCTCCACATGCAAGTATGCTGACAGCGGCAAGTGCTCCACTTTGTCACCTGTTATACCACCTGAGCGGGGCGCACTTCGAGAAGTGGCTCTCACAGCCATGGATTCCGCCACTGGTTGGTCGGACGGTGACCATCTAAACGAAAGCAGTGAGATACGTTCAAAATACTGCAATGATTTCGGCGTGTGCTGCAGCTACGGTGGCATTTACAAGTGTGGGCGCAATATAGAGCCCTCCGATACCACCTTATATCCAAGTTACAGCAAAACAAATACCAAAGATTGCAGTCACAGCAAAGTAGACGCTTCAGCGTCGAGTAACCACCACCCCTTGCAGCTTGACCGGGCTTCTACGCATTCTTCGCTCTGGAAATATTTGCCTGCCCAGCACACAGACGTGCATGAAGACCAGCACCCCAAACTACAGCAACAGAATGGGTTGCTAAGCGTGCTGCTGGTGGGAGGAGACATCCAAGGACGTCCACCAGAAAGTTTACAGTACAGCAGGGCAAGTTCCAGTGTGTGCAGAAACGACCACCATGGCTTAGTCAAGGCCGCCCGTCAGAGACGATTTCGCCATGCAGCCCTCCATGCACTGTCGCAGCGTAGCCAGGATCTGAGGCCACAACGAGGTATGCAAACTAGGCCGCCCGAGTCTTCTACTCTTCCGCAAGACACATCGTGGCATGCAGAACAGTGGCCAACCATGCACAGTCAGTGTCGCCTGTCAGAGGAAATCCGTCAGCCCACCATGCTACGTCACAGTGATGGCCGAGTATAAGGAAGCCCAATTGGCGCTTTGGGACCAGCGTAGTCTCGGCTAGCGCGAAGCGATTGACTATAGTGCATAATAGAAACCATCCAACAATCAGGCGTTGTGTCTATCTGTCTCATTGCACATTTCATAGCTGAGTGCGTCTTCTTTCGTTAGGGTAGGTTGGGTTGCCTTATTGAATAAAGTTACAATAACTAAAGTATTACACTCATATCGCAGGTGGACCCCGAAGACGGCCTCCACCAGTCACGCCACCGCCACAGAGTGAGTCGCAATTATAAGTTACATCACCAATCCTGAAGCAGCAGCTCAAATAATAGCTGTATATAATAAGAAGAAAAAGAAAAAAACGTATGTTTATCGCCTAAAACTAGGAATAGCTGAGAAGTCAAAGTTTAATCATTTATAACATCTTTTCGTACTTAGAATCCGCAGAGTGTCAAGTTTGTGTCGACAGCCGTTCGCAGCTTCAAAATGATTCATGGGTAGAGTGCCCACTTCGCATTCGAAAACACAAGTTGGAGAGGCAGCTTCAGATGGAGTTTTTTATCACTACACCCTAAGGACAACAAAAGAAATAACTATTTATATTGCCGCATTACAGATTCTTCCGCAAATAAAGACAAGTCAACTTTATGCGGAGACAAGCCTGTCCTTACTTGGTGTAGCGGGAAAAGACAAAATGAGCCTCTTCTGCATGATGGCAACCGATGCGATAATTGTTCATATATATTTGTATTTGATAAACCAAAGACCAACAATGGACATCGTAAACATAAGGTGTGCATTAAATGAGATCATTTTTACGAGGATTGCTGCGAACACTTTTAATGCCCCAGAGCATCAAGGCGCTTGCTTCACAGAACTCATGGTGTCGGCATGGTCGGTAGGCAGCGAAAAATAAAAATTATAAAAACTGCCCTTCAAACAAAAATCACATCCAAGGCTTCTGCGTGGCAAAGAGCTGTTTCACCACAGAGCCAAGTCGTGGCTAGAAATTCATTGAAAAAAAACAATAAACATTATGTAGTGAGATCACTCTTCTCAACATGCAAAACTTCGCCGCAGAAACGTAGAATCACGCCGGGCGTCATAAATTGAGAATAATGGAGCGAATGGGTGTTCTACAGGCCAACATATCAAAACGCGCTCAGACATATCTGAGAACTAATATTAGCAAAAGCACCGACAAAGTGAGCAGCTGTGTAGGTTAACGTGTTTCCTTATGGATGCGTAGTGGGCCTTTTACTGCTTCTCAAGAGAAAAAATGGTGACGCGGTGGGCACTTGCCACCCTACTTACAGTATGGGCATTCTAGAATAAATTCAAACGGGCAATGTTAGGTTGATAGAGGTTCTTTTCCTTGCGGAACAGCCTGGCCATCCTTCAAAAGTGAAGCCAGGCTAGCGATTGAGAAGGCGATGCGCACGTAGCTAGATGACACCACCACGTTAAACTCTTCAAGGCAAAGCTCAAGGGCCCTCCTAGTTTTTTTATTGCGATAGCAATTATATGGACCCACTCGGCTGGCTGCTTTCTGTGCCGTCGGCGTTAGCGTTCTGTAATATATATATATATATATAAATATATATATATATATATATATATATATATATATATATATATATATATATATATGGGAAAGAAGTGTTCAATTCCCGGCTGCGGCGGCTGCATTTCCGATGGAGGCGGAAATGTTGTAGGCCAGTGTGCTCAGATTTGGGTGCACGTTAAAGAACCCCAGGTGGTCCAAATTTCCGGAGCCCTCCACTACGGCGTCTCTCATAATCATATGGTGGTTCTGGGACGTTCAACCCCACAAATCAATGAAGAAGTGTATACCTAAGGTTGTATACCTAGTTTTGCCTAGTTTTGCCTAGTATACCTAGTTATATATATATATATATATATATATATATATATATATATATATATATATATATATATATATATGTATATATATATATATATATATATATAATATATATATATATATATATATATATATATATACGCATAGGCGTATGAGCAGGAAGACAAGGGGGCGCAAGCCCCTCTACTTAATTTTCCTTCAGCACTGTAATCACTCAGTTATATTGTTACGGGAAAAAGAAAATATTACGAAGCAATGATACAACGTAGCGATAATTTTTCAGCATTTAAGAAGTGACGATTTTCCTTGAAGGCTTTTTGCGACGCCTTCCGCCCTGTGCAGTAGCACTGCAGAGCAGGCTGGCGCTGAACAGAGGGCCTATGTATTACGTCACCTGTTTATGTTTTTATTCTACTGCAGCTGGCCGATGCAGTTATAGATGGGAAAGAACAAGCTTTTTATAGGTCAAAGCATTTGCTGCTTCAGGAAAATCATTTTCGTTCACCAAGAAGATTACCATCACCGCTTCTCTGTCGTTCTGCTCTAAGCATATGATTGCGACTAAACCTTCTAATTATTTTAATTTTGCCGCACTGGAAGCGCCAAGAAAGTTTTTCGCTTTAATCTCCGATAAATCTGATCAACCTTGCTTATGGCAAATTGGAGCGATGGAGTCAGCTTGCAAAGCAGCGACGAATAAAGCGGTAGACTATAGCTCACTGGGAAGCTGAAATAAGTAGATAGAAGAGCTCAAAATACCCTTGGTTCCTCAATGAGTGCCTTAAATTTAAAAACTGAATTTTATTGAGCTGTTTTTAGTAAATTAAAATTTCATTCAATGATAAAATATTTACTGTTTAGGAGGCCGCCATCTACATAATTGTATTCGTGTGGAAAGTTGTGAAGAAATGCATCAAAAGCGGCGCGTGTAATATTATTTGAGGCATCATACATGACGTAGACGTGTTGTCCCAGTGCATGCCGCTTAAAACTGACTGTTCCCTCTCTCTGTCTCTTTCTCTCTCTCTCTCTCTCTCTCTCTCTCTCTCTATATATATATATATATATATATATATATATATATATATATATATATATATATATATATATATATACACCGGGCGAAAGGGTTGGTACTCCACTGTGTATCGGTCATGAAGAAAAATTTTTCTACGCGCGAAATCCAACGGACTGCGTCTCACTCTACAACGCGCAATTGGCTGGTTTTCCGCCTCACCAGTGGACCAGTGGGACGAAGCGATTTGCACACTCGGCACCCCACTCATCGCGATGTGTTGGCGCGTGAACGTGGCTTTGTGTTGTAAGGGCGGGTGGTAGAAACATTTACTGCCACTTTATAGCGCGGGGGCCGAGCCCCCTCATGACACGTGGGCGCTCCCTCACGATGAGAAGGCACCTTTACAAAGCAAAGGAAAGCCCTTGAAGTGCGGTCCTCTTCATGGCGCACGAGATGATCCGGCGTTGATCGAACGCAGAAGTGCTGGTCATGATGCTATCCCAGTATGACCCGCCACTGCCAGAGGGGAGAAGGGATGTGGGAAGGTGGGACATATGATGAGTATGTGGAGGAAGTACCTAGACCGATTCCCCTCTTCGTGCAATCTTTGTGCTATACGGGCACACTTTGTGCTATACGAGCGTGCAAACACCCGTGCCCCCGCGTTTGCACGCTCATCTTCGGAAGGAAGTAGATTGTGCGTCGTGTGCTTTCCCCGTAAGGATTGCGTATAGGTTACAGAGTATGCTTCACCCTTGAAGCGACACTTCATTTTCTTTTCTTTTTTGCAATAGCGTGTGGTGAGAGTAGCCTTTTTGCCAAAATTGTAAACGCAGAGCGAAATGAGCAGCTCAGCACCTGTGTAATATTTATCTATTTATTTGATTTGGATACACAGAAACTATGAAGGCACAGAGGAATTAAGCAGGTAAACACGCTGATTATTGCTCATCGCCAGCCTGCATGTTTCTCTGCGAAGGGGAAACAGTGTGTGAATGCTTAAAAAAATGGTCGTTTTGTATTTACACTCTCTAACTTCGTAAACTATTCATTTATGTTGCTCTAAAAGTTTTATCACCTCTCTTGTTATTTAAGTGGACCTACACAACCCGAAAATGAAAAGGTAAATAAAGCTATCTTTTATTCCAGAAAAGCTCCCGGGAAGAAGGCGCCTATCACCTCCTTTTAAAAATCGTGAGAGCATGGTTTAAGGGATGCTTAAATGTTGTGCATAGCCAGGGCAAGATTCTATGTAGTAGATAGTAAAAAGAAAATGAAGAGACGTTCCAACACAATCAATGAAAAGCAAGTGACTGATGTACTATAGGAATAAATGCATTGTCTTGTTACAATTGTGGTGATGGATGTTCATTTACAGCGCAACGTTGACCTACTGGCAATGATGGCGTTGTGGTTCTTCTTCTTCTTCTTCTTCTCGTTGTCGTCATCGTCGTTGTCGTTGTCGTGTTCGTCGTCGTCGTCGTCGTCGTCGTCGTCGTTGTTGTTGTTGTTGTTGTTGTTGTTGTTGTTGTTGTTGTTGTTGTTGTTGTTTTGGCTGCAACAACTCACGTCCTTTTCTTCTACTTTTTGCTCGGCTCATGCCCGTTGTATTTACGGACTCACTGACTGAGCCCTCTGGGTGAGCCTGAATCTGCGTTACGTCGGGTGAAACCACTTGAGACGGGCAACGTGTACCAACAGGGTCCCGCTTGAACGACGACCAGCCGACGTCAAGTGTGCGACGACGCACGTAAAATCTCTCAAGTGATTAACAATGACAAATAGGCCAGTGTACTGAAGTAAATACTTTTTACGTAAACCACGCTTGTGTTGTGGTGTCCATAGTCGCACACGGTCTCCTATGTTGTAAGAAACAGACTGATGTCGACTGTCATAGCGTTTTTTTATCGGTGCTGTGATGCCACAGTATGAAGGCGAGAAATTCTCTGGGCTTCTTCGGCAAGATACAGCGTCTTCACGACAAAGTAACCGATATGAAAATCAAACCGTAGTATATCGCTTCGACGCAGCTTAAAGGTGGTCGTGTGTAAGTGAGATATAGGCCCGTATTCACAAACTAACCTCGGCCCTGCCTCACGTTTTTCTCAACTTCTTGTGCTCTCTACATGCGTTATAAAGGCCCAAAACGGTAACAGGGCGAAAGAAAGGGACAAGACTGGTTCATGTGTACTGGTCCTATTTGTTTACTATGCGCAATAAAGGTTTTAAACCGACAAGAAAAACTCGAGGAAAGTATGAGGTTGGTTTTTGAATACAGGCCACAAAGGGCTGTCAATTTTTTCACGCTTGCAGCATAGTGAGCTGAAGTAGTGAAGCGGAGAACGTCGCTCCAGTCTTCGTGGTCGG